TTGGAATTTAAACACTACATTCCTAAATAGCACACCAAAAGAATACATAAGAGAAATAGAAAATACTGGATATCAACACGAAAATGAAGACAATATACCGAGTATGCAATATACCTATGCAGTGCTTCCAGAGATATATAATTTAAAGATCACAAATGAACAACACAGCCTAACCTCCCACCTTAAAAAAAGTAAACGGGCAAACAAAGCTCAAAGCAATTGAGTGTAATGAAATATGAATTAGAATAAAAATGAATAGATAAAAAGAAACAAGAGCTGGTTATCTGGAAAAAAAATCAATAAAACTGGCCAAGTTAGACTGACCTGAATGGGGAGGATTCAAGTGAGCAGAATCAGAAACGTGACTAACTGTGCAGAAGTGAAAGTGGGAGTAGTATGGACATTTGTATGCCAATAAATTAAATAACTTACATGAAACGGACAAATTCCAAAGATATATTTGCTATAGGCCAATAGTTTAGAAGGTGGAGAAAAAAGCTATGTGGGAGAACAAAGATATTGGCTGTCTTTCTGAGACTAAAATAAAGAAATTGTTAAAAGTTGATGGAACAAGAAAAAAATCGAAGTGTTATTTAAAGCTATGGAAAAACTGAAAGTGATGAAAAGGTGAGGAAAGTTATCAGGACCCCTGCAGTGAGCCTGCAACCTCCTTCTAGGTGTCACAGTGGGAGAAAGAGGAGATGAAATGGCAGCACAGCAAGGGTCTGGGGTGACCAGTTGTTCCCGAGGAAGAAAAAGGCCATGAAGCAGCCAGACCCTCAGCATTCACTGATTAAGGAGGGGATTTGAGGGAGGTCTTACACTAAAAAGGATCTTGGCCTGGGGTGTCTTTAGTCTTAGTGGGTGGGAGAGGACAGCCCACACCTAAAGAGATAGTGGGAAATCTCAAAAGGGTGATACCAGATAATCCCAAGCATCCGCTTATACCTTAAGGAAATATGCAAAATTAACCACTGTGAATTTGTGGTCCCCAACAGAAAGTAGTGTTACTGTGATGAAATTTTTCAATCTTTTATGGAGGTACTACTTATATATAAATTATAAAGGTACGATCACAGTTATAGACGTAACTATCATCACAAATGAAACCTGTAAAGTCAGGAGCATCTAACCAGATGGAAATGGGGATGGGAAAAAGTCAGGAAATGAGTCATGCTTTTACTCTATGATCTTCATGATTGCTTATTTCTAAACTTTTATTATTTAAATACCTTAAAAATACCATGAAAAAAAGTTCCTAGTCCCAAAGTGCTAAGGGGCTGGCTAGGATTCAAACCTCGTATGATATAGCTCTTAAACTATTACATTACACATGTTGAATTGCATGCATTTATGTAGGTAGTCAGTGCTAGTAGCATTTACTGATTGATTGGTACAGTGATGGGGATTGAACCCAGGGTCCTGTGCATGCAAAGCAAGGGCTCTACTTCTAGCTGCTCCCTTAGCCTCGGGTATATTTTATACTTTCAGAGCTTTAGGTTTCAGGTTTTGGAATTACTGTATATATATGATGAAGGACATCCAAGTCTGAAGACAAAATTTGTGTCATATAAAACATTATCTAAAGTTAGTTTTATACAAAATTTTAGTTGACCTGTTTTTATTGGAACCAGTCATACATTAGGTGTGGAATTTTCCTTTTGTGGTATCACATCAGTACTCAAATTTTCAGGTCCTAAAGCATTATTCATTATAGGATGCTCGGTCCAACTTCACTTCTACCATCATTTCATATCCAAAAGGAACTCACAACCTCCGGTTACTGCTGGGTGGGTGCTGTGCCGCTGAGCTATATCCCTGGCTGCTGTTACTGCTATACGAATATATTTCCTTTGATGTTCTTAGACATCAAATACGTAAATCTAAAACTATTATATAAGGCTGATTTAAACGTTAGGGTGACTTAAGACGTTTAGCTTCTTTATTATTCTCATTTAGAGTTAATTTTAAGTATTTAGGTCCTTAGAGCCAGTAACATATTTTGAAATGAACAAAAGAATGTTTTATGTTTTACATTAAATATAATCAGTGATTTATTTAGAAAAAATACTTTATTTGTGAACAATGTGAGACACTAAAAACACTAGCTTTCTGTACTCTTTACTGTCTGGAAAGTTTTACAAATTTAAAGTAATAAATATATTCATTTTTCTTATTCTTTCCAACATTTCAGTTTAGAGAGAACAGTACTGTTTTAAAATTTGAAAATATACATCGTTTGTATTTTAGACATTTTCAAAATTGTTATAGGTTAGTGCTTGGTGTGATGAAGTAGAGTGAAGTGAGAGAAAGAAAATTCTTATATTGGTAAAACTAAAAGTAGTAATGGATATTACCAATATATAAAAGCTACTGCTTTAGCACAACCTAATGGTGATAAATTTTAGGTCCCATAAATGCAGAAAAATCAATATAATTTTCTAATTATTTTAAATTCACTTACACTATAGCAATGCTAATTTTTAAATTCTGAAATCTAAATATACACATACAGAGCAACTAGAATGTCTTTTTTTAAAATGGCATTTCCAAAAAAGAAGCCAAAAAGCAAAGAGCAAAACTACATGATTCTGGGAGGCTGAATCTGCATACAATTTATTAAGTTTGTTTTTGGTTTTTGGTTGCTTTCTTTTTTAACACAAGGCCTCGCTACATAGTCCAGGCTGGCCTCGGATTCACTATGTAGCCCAGGTGGCCTCAAAAAACTCCCAGCAATCCTGCTGCCTCACAGTGCTGGGATTACTGGTGTGTGCTGCCACACCCGGCCACAATTCATTAAGTAAACATCAAAAAGTAAAATAAACACAACCCCCTCTCTAATCAAATTATTTCAAAATATCCATTACCATTCCAATAGACAAACACATACGAATCTCGTTATGACTGGTATTTGTAATGTACTTTACTTCTTCAGCTCCCGCCCCTAGCGCTCACCTTCAGCTCCTACAGCAAATGTTTTGCTCACATTCATTGGTTAGTGATACTGTGTTCCTACTCTGTTATCAGAAAACTTGGGTATTGCTACAAATGGATGGATGCCATGTGGTATGTGGCACACTAACCTTCTATATGTACTTTATTTATTTATTTATTTTTGTCTTTTTGAGATAAGGTCTTGCTATGCAGTTCAGGCTGGCCTTGAGCTCACTTTGTACCTCAGGCTGGTCTCGAACTCGCATCGATCCTCCTGCTTCAGCATCCCGAGTGCTGGGATTACTGGCATGCACCACCACACCCGGCTCTACATGTACTTTATTAAGAAAGGGCTGGAAGCCAGATTATTTTATTAAAGTATTAACAACTTTTTTTTTTTTGTACCGGGAATCAAATTCACAACCTCGCACTTGCCAGCCAGGCTCTGCGCAGCTCAGCTACATCCCTGGCCTAACAATCTTCTTTTACGAAGAATACCAAACAAAATCTTATGCAGTGATTTTGCTCCAGCTTTTTACACTATTTTACATCTCATCCTCTATACATTGTAAGGATAGAGAACTTACTAAGCACTGAACTTCCAAATGTATTTGGAAAGTACAATTTCAAGATAAGTATAAAATAGTACAGGAAGTGGTAAGGACTCACTGGAAATTTCCCTGCAAGTGTTTTTATGCTACATTTGTCCTGTAGATGTTAACATAACTCATTTTTCTCACTCTGCAGTGATTATTGTACTGGGTCCTATGTGTTCCCTAAGCTCATCTGGAACACACAATGTAATCAAAGGTCCGAGGTGTGACCATCTCTCTTTTCCTGAAGATGGTACACAATGAGTACCATTCTTGGTGCCACAGAAGTCAGGGCTTCATTGTATCTGGCAAGCCTGAGAAGCTGCTAAGCTAGTGCCATGCCTTCTCCTTTTCCCTCACCTTCAAACTACTCCTGCCTTAAGCCCACAGCATTTGTTTTACTAATGACTTTGTCCTGTACTCGATTCCACAGGAGAAAACAACTTGAAAATACCTATCACTTTCTTCTCAGACTACATTTTTCTCTTCAGTTCCATTTGTCAAGTTTGGTATACAAGAAATCATCTTTTGTGACTTTTTACTTATTTTCCATCAATAAAAAACAAAAATCTTCAAAAGTCTTTTAGCACATCTAGAAGCTACAATTTCTCAGTACTCTGAATAATACCAATACACGTACAGGTATAACTCTGAGTTATACCTGTGAACTAACGATGAAAGAGGAGCAGATTTTGAAAACCTTTGCTTGACAGTCCCAAGAAAAGAAACACATGCTAAAGAAGGGTCCCAACTCCAGTGAGGTTGCTGCGATATGTGCTGAGAAACCTGTACGTTTTACTGAGCCACTGCAAACAAACTGAGAATCTTGCTCTGCATAAAATAAACCTTTTTCATTATTTACAACATAATTTGAGACTAAAAGATTACTTTCTTTGCAAACAATGGGGGTCAACACGATGTCTGTTTAGCTTACATAGTGATAAATTCTCTTAGATATGAGAGAACTGTAAAGCAGGAACACCGGAAGTAACTGAACACTTAATACATGGGAAGAGCTATCACCGCTGCATTATACCATAAACCATGGCTGGTATGATGTCTGCACAGGGCCAGATGGTAATAGGCTCTTCTGAAGCAGCCACCCAACTCTAGCTGCAATACAAAAGCAGCTGTACACAATATGCAGAAGAAAAAGAGTATGGTTGTGCTCTAACAAAATTACTTATGGATGGTAAACTTCATATTAGTTCTTGTATTTAGTCTTCTGTTTAAAAACTATTTAAAATATAAATACAATTTTTAACTCACAAGCCATGAAGGTGGCAGTGAGACGGATTGGCCCATATGCAGTATGGTTTCACACTCCTGCCTTTGAAGGTTTTTGTTTCTTACATTTCTCATTTAAAAATATATACCACAAGTAGTCTTTGTGAATAAATATACTCACATGAAACGGGAAAAATGTAGAAAAAATGCAATTCCCTACTTTTTAAAAAAAGCAAAGCTATAAAATGAATGTTAAAATGTTTAATTCAGAAACATGTAAAACAAAGCATTAAAATTTTTATTCTATGTAAAATAAACCAATATGCATACATATTGGTACATAACTGTACTTTAGGAAAAAGATAATGAGAAAAAGGGTTTTAAATCTCTCCATCCCTTTTATAAAAAGTAGTCACTGAACAATCACTTGCATATACAACCGTCAATTCCAAATACAGTATGAATTATATGTAAGAATTAGAATTTACCTAAGTCAGTCTGGCTCTTTTTTATTGAGATGGGGTCTCACTTCACATTCCAAGCTGGCCTTGAACTTGCTCTGTAGCCCAGGCTGCCTCAAATTCATGGCGACTCCACTTCAGCCTCCCAAGCACTGGGTTTCCAAGTGTGCCCCACCACACAGGGTTCTGGTTCCTTTTTTTCAAATTTTCAAATTAGCATTCTATCGTAGAACACTGTGGCTCCCACAATTTGTGACCATTTTGAAAAGAAACTCCCGCCCCCATAGTATCAGAAATAAGAATACTATTTCCGTAATTGTTATCCAGTATAAAAAAAAACTTCACAGACTGATTTACCTTACTAAAGGTAAAATGATTCACTGCTACATTTGCTTGAATTACTCTGATCCCCAGTACTTCTTAAACACGAAATAAAATTCTGCATGAACTTTCATCTGTTTGGGTTTTCGAAATACTACCACAAAATATCTTCAAATGGCAGCAGTCCAGGAGATAAAGAAGCAATTGAATACAAAATGTTTACCAACATTATTCTTTCTAATTTTAGTTTTACTCTCTGATATTGAGACCTAATTGGTTTCTTGTGCCCATCCATGAGGGGCATAACTCAGTCTTCTTTGTCCTTTGTCATCCTATTTTGTAAATATGTCTTGCGACGTACAACATCACTTCGTCCAACTTCAATCATCTGTTCTTCCCATGCCTTTATTTCATTATTATAACGAATTCTATCATCTTGGGCAAGTTGTTCATACACCTGAGAAACAGTATAATTGTTAACAGGGTTTTAATTTACAAAAGAGTAATTAACTTCTGGAGTGTGTCCGTGTGTACAGAAATCTCATTACAACTCTGCATGTATAAAGGGAGAACAGAGAAAATGTTTTCGTGAGGTAAATGATAGATGAGAAAAAGGGTAAGAAAGCAAGCTTTTATAAACATTAATGAAGTTGTTACAGCTTCAGGGTGTGAGAGGGTGGTAAAAGCAAGGTAGGACTACCACTTAATACAGTGAGCACAAGATTATGAATGATACTGTTTTAAAAACCAATTTTATTTGCAGTCAAAAACTGCCAAGAAAAAAAAAGCCAAATTAATTTGAATAATAGGAAAGTAAATTTAAAATGCTATTATTAATAGGTTACCTTAACATGAATCAATCCTTGCCCTAAAGTATTTTCTCATATTTATTCCAACTGGATACTTGAAACTAAAAGCTGTAATACTTACTTGCTTCTGAGAACCAGACATATTATTCCAGTTTTCACGTGCACACTTCCATTTTGCCTGTAAAACAATATATATTTAAATACTATGTATGGGGATTTAGGTGATTAAAGAAAAATCTTTTTTTATTATTTACTCCAACAACAAAATCTCTAACATCAATAATTACAGACAAAGCCGTGTCAATTAACATCCTTTGTTTCTACATAGTAACTATTAAACAGCTTACTTCTTTCTTCCCTGTAGTCTTAGTTTTATTCTAAAATTTGTGTCCAGCTGTTTAGGTACAGTCATAGCGATACAAGTCCCAAATTCTACTTAGCTGAAGGCACTGGAAGCACATGTTTTACACCAGTCAGGTGTAACACAGAAGTTAAGGTAGTACTGAGTGACACATCGAACCAATGAAAAAGAGGCCTAACCTCATCTCTAACAGACTCTGGCACATTGATTCTTCTCTCAAGGGTAAAAAAAACAGGGACAGTTAAATATACACAGTATGTGAGGAGGGTAAAAAGCTAAAATAAGAAAATTAGATGAGCAGTTCAGATTGAGAGTCAGAATACAGAAAAAGAGTGGGAAAGGGAAGATAAAGAAATCAGATCATATGCAAAAGGACCAACAATGAAAACGCGTTCACATTTCTCACAAACAATATAATGAGCTAGAAAAGGAGCAATACTTGTGAAAAATTTGAAGAAATTTGATTTGCATCCTAGAGTTCTATACCTTCTCTAGCACACATACGTGAGGACAAAGACTTTTTACAGAGACAAAACTAAAATGTGTAACCTCCCATGCACCTTTAGTGGGGGAAATGCTATGGGAGAGTCAGAGTAAACCAGGAAGGACAAGGGAAGATGAAGAAGAAGGAAGAGCCTGGGAAGTCAGCCACCAGACGCACACCCGACATAGAAGGCCAGGGCCACGCAGGAACAAAAGGGCTGCAGACTGAAAGTGACAGACTGGCACGCTCCGAGGTGCTGAAAGCTGGTGCGCATTGAAGAGTTTGGGATTGAATTAGTGTTAAGTATCAAAAACAAAGAAAACGAGACACAATCAGCTTTAGGGAAAATCAGTTTTAAAAGAAAGAAAAAATAATTATAGGATATGGGACAGCTCAGCTGTGAATAGTACTCATACGATCATATTATATAGACATGCTCAATATTCATCTAACCACAATTATGTTTTTGGGTTTGTTTTTTTTTTAATAGTTTCTTGAGACAGGCTCTTACTGTGTAGTCCAGGCTGGCCTTGAACTCATGGCAATCCTTCTACCTCAGCCTCTTGAGTACTGGGATTATAGGGGTGAGCAACCACACCCAGCTTAATCAAAATTATGATAACTGTATTGGTAGCTAAAAAGATGAAACATGTGAAGAGTGAAATGAGATTTAAAGGTTTATCTGAAATAGTGAAGGTGATAAAATACAAGACAGACAGTGCTTATAACTGAAAATAATCAAGAAGCAACAACAATGTAAGAGTATCAGCAGAACTGAGCTTGGTGGTGCATGCCTGCAATCCCAGTACTCCGGAGGCTGAGGCAGGAGGATTGCCAGGAGTTTGAGGGCAGCCTGGGCTACACAGTGAGTTCAAGGTCCGAACAAGATGGCAAGACCCCGTTTCAAAAAAAATATTAGTAAAGATAGGGATACAAATACCACAAGAACCACCCAAAGCAGTGAATGTGTTTCTATATTATGGAATATCACTAGGCAGTGAAATTACTTTTTCATAACAAACCTAAAAGAACATTTTCATTCTTTAAATAAGTTGTGAGGATGTATATAACCAAATTTTTTAATGGATAAAAATATTGTCAAGTTGTATTTCAATTTCCAGGGATAGAATCCACCCACTAAGGTTTCTAAGTGACTCCAGGGTATTGTCAGAGTTGAGAAGTACTAATTTAGAAGAATTCTCTAGCATATAACCTTCCTATAATGATAAGAAAACTAATTCCAAGGTAGTAACTGAACTAAATTCCAATGGAAAAAAATAGGACAACTTACGTTTCAGTAATACAGAACTATAGAAATTAAATTCAAAATTCTGAGAAGAGTAATTGAGTTCAAGTATGTAGCCAGGGAACACAATGTAATATATATACATTATTTAAGTATATGGTAAATAGGATTTGTGCAATTACAGATCCAAATAACCCCAAAGAGGCAGACTGCCAAAAATATCATTTCAGATTGACAAGAGTTAGGGATGTGAACACTCATTTTTTTCACCTTGTCATATTGTACACAGAAAAACACAACCACCTATGTTGGCCTCCTATGAAAGAAAAATGGAAAGATAGCCCCAGTAGTGACTGACAAGCTTTTTTCTTCGATATATTCACATATAGAACACATTCCTATGTGCATAATCAAAGTTTTATTAAAGGATATTACAGGAAGCAATAGGTTATACTCAATTCCCAGTAGAAAATATTGTAGCTCTCAAAAAAAAGAAAAAAAAAATACAACGGTATCTTGGCTCACAAACTTAATTCTTTCTACAATTCTGGTTGTGAACCAAATCAAATTCAATGGTTAGGTTCAACATTGGCCTTATGTGGAAATTTGATTGAGTTCTCACCCAATTCAGTTTGCGACTAGGACTACGGAAAGAATTAAGTTCGTGAACCGAGGTTCCGCTCTATGATAGCTCTACTCACATTCTTTCCAGTGACCATGAAACTATTAAGACCTGCTTGAGGAGCAGAGTCTCCACAAAAGCGTTAATATCTCCATAAATGTGCAAAAATTTTTTTAAATTTAAAAAGTTGGCAAGGTGTCAGCAATGATGGACTTATATTAATTGCTTATGCTAAGAAAAGGGATTTCTTGTGTGTATGTTGTTAGGGCTCAAATCCAGTGATTTACACATACTAAGCAAGTGCTCCACCACTGGGCTACACCCTCAGCCCAATGTTTTTCTTTAAAACAGATTCAATAAGTAAGGCCTTATGAAAAGTGCCAGGGATATAGCTCAGTGGCATAAGCGTTTGCTTCGCAAGTGCAAGGTCCTGAGTTCAATTCCTGGTACCAAAATAAATAAATAAGGCCTTATCAAAAGTTTAATTTCTAAAAAAAAAAAAAGTTTAATTTCTGTCAAAACTTTCTGTGACCACCTAACAAATGACAATCCTAGAATTCCCAAGTAATCTGTATTTTTCATTTTTTTCCAAGTAACTTTTAAATGAAAATAAAATCAGAAACAAATGTAGCTGTTTACCTGTATTGTAGCACCTTCACAGTCTTGAACATATTCAGATAAAAAAATGTTATAAGCTGTGCGAGCTTTTTTTGGTTTTCCAAGCATTGATAACTCCTAAGTAACAAAAGTAATAGAGTTAGGTATAGTTTTAAATTTACTAAGACTTAATTTTTCCTACAGAAACTATTCACTACTATGCATTACAGAAATAAAATGAATGCTGGTATTTTTATACAAAGTACATAATTCTTATCTCATTGAGTCAAAATATTTTGAAAGCACTAAATCTTAAAAATTTCATGAGTTATTTTTCCATACTCAAATTCTTTATATGTTATTTTTATGGTCTTCATGAACTAATCAAACATATATATAAATGAAGCTTTAACAAAGATAAAACTATTCTAGTTTCATCCCTCAAGGACACCACCATGCCCTAGGCCAGTGGTGGCGAACCTGTGGCACCACCCTATGGCATGTTATTTTTCTCTTAAGACAAAAGATATTAATGTGTGAGTTGTTTTTTCTAAACTAAAAGCTTGCTATTCAGGTTCAGTTGCAGCATTGGTACTTTGTAATAAATAAGTGGGTTTGGGTTACAGCTTGGGCACTTGTTTCTAAAAGGTTTGCCATCACTGCTCTAGACCAAATCACCATATGTGAACCGTTCCAATTCACAAACACAGGGCTATCGTATAATAATCTCTCCCGATTTATTTCTTCCTTGAATGCCACCATTAAAGTGCAACCGATGTGTTAAATTCCATTCTTTTATTAGGTACTAAAGGGGGAAAGAAAACAACCAACCATCTCTTGCTATCTAATTTGGTTTAGTTCCCCCATTCAGAGAATGAGGGCTACTGTGTTACTGTATTTAGTTTCCAAATTTGGATAGTAAGTAACATATGAATTTTTGTTTGTTTAATTGGTTTTGGATTTTGTTTGATTGGATTATGTTTGTTGAGACAAGGTCTTGCTATGTAGTTCAGGCTGGCCTTGAACTCACGGCAATCCGCCTGCCTCAGCCTATTGAGTGCTGGGATTACAGGTGTGTGCCACCATGCCTGGCTAAGAATCTTAAAAAGTCTATGATTCTTGGCAATTTGGTTATAATCAGTAACAAATCTAAATTTTATTCATAGTAAAAGTAGAGTTCTGATTTACACACAGAGACAATTCTTTCTAAATCTCTCATTCACTTAGTACTGAAATTACTGCAGACTCTAGACACTTTAATTTTTTAATTAAATACTTTTGCCCATTGTTTCTAGAGCCACTGTTAGGGATTTCTCTCCTACCTAGGGATTTCTCTTCACTCACAACTCTTAATCCTCACACTTGGCCAGATCTCCAAACTTGATGGCATTAAGAATCTTTAATGCGAGAAATGATTCTACTGAAGAGTGAAGACAGAAAGGCAAACCCCTTTTATCTGCCCAGTCCTCAGTTCTGACCCTCTTTACCTTCACCACAGGCCGAGTTCTTTGAGGAGGAGGAATAGGGAGTGAAAGAGGGAAACACACTGTAGTAATCACTTTCCAAGTATCATCTCTATGCAGATACTTTACTTCTCACTCTTAGTATCCCTTTTGGATCTTTTAAGTGTACCTGCACTCAGATCATCATTGACTTGAACTGGGTGAGTCATCGGCCCTAGCACTAGGACAGCTGAAAACCCTGTGGTCAGGGAGAAAGGCCTTGGCTTCTCACAGTCAAGGACAGAATCTATTATTTGCAGAGAAAGAGTTTTAACTCTGAAAGCCATTTCTGAATACTGTAAGTACTGGACCAACAAGTTTACCAACTCACACGTAGTAGTGGTTTAAAAAAAAAGCAGTCTAACTTTCAAACAATGACCTTGAAGTAAACTAACACTTTAAGCTGAGAACTACAAATTTTGAACCATGTAGGGATTTTAATAGTTATTTCTCTACGGAAAAATAGAATTGTATTCTAGAGACCAAAATGGTGGAGTAGCAATCAGCAGCAAAATATAGCCTTTCTAGAACCTGGAATCCAGACAGCTGAGAAATAACAAATTGGCAAAGAGAAGAAGAAAAACAAAAAGATCTCTGGGAATATAGAAGGACCAGACAGTAAAAACAGGAAACTCCAGAAGCTGGAGGAATGGAGTAACAACACAGAGAAAAGAACAAAGCTTACCCTAGCTCCCCAGAAAGGAAACCTTTCTCTGTAGAAACAAAGTGAGCCTCCAGCATTGGGGGCTCTAGGGAGAAACAACTGGGCCACTGGCACTAGGCCCAGAAAAGCCCCCAACTATTGTAAACTGCAAAAATAGCATGGTGTGTTACTCTAAGTGACTCCTTCCACACTACAGACTACAGGTAAAGGAATCCAATGCAGCACCTGCCATACTGCAGAGAGTGCTTATTAATCAGGCACTATTTGGGGAAGGAGTTGATTATTTAAGACTGAACCATAGAAAAACCAGAAAACAACTTCACTTTAGAGTTCTCAGTGTCATCCTCCCAGTTACTACTGGGCGAGAGAAAGTTGAAGACAAGCAGCAGGCTAGACACTGACTTCCTAAGAAGCTGAACTCAGGTTGGGAAAGATACAGGGCCCTGTCCTCCATGGTGAGAAGCCAGGCCTCGCTTGTGTGGCTTTCAGAGGTGGCTGAGGCTGAAAGTGTTGGTGTTAAGTCCAGCAAACTGCTTAAATCCTCACTCTGCTGTTATATGCAGCAGAGGTAAGAGGTCCAATTGCTTTCCCAATCTACCAATGTGAACAAAGACATGGCTCGGCTTGAGCTGATGCCATAGCCTGGGGGGAACGGACAAAGGGACGCTTCATAAACCCACAGGCCATAAACTGAGGAGAAAACCAGAAAACCTGATAGGTTCCAAAACTGCGTAACACAGGACAAAACCACTCATTCTAATACACAACAAAACAAAACAAAACAAAACAACTCAACCTGGTGGGGGCAGGGAGCACATCTTCTTGCTTTTTCAATGGTTCTGGGCACTTGGGACTTTTTCATTTTTCCATTTTTTCATTTTTTAAATTATTTTCTCTTCTTCTTTTCTATTACTTTTATCTAATTCTACTAATTTCCTTTTACACCCTAATACAATCCCTTTCTTAATTTTCTCTCCTCCTAATTTTTCATTACATAACTATTCAAATTTTTCTTTCCTTTTCCACCCTTCAACCTTTACTATATAACAACTAAGCTTTATGAATCTTTAGATAGTTAGCTGCACGCCATCACTGTTGATTGTTAGTGGAGGTATAGCTGTTACATGCAGTAGGTATTTACTGTCTGTCATTATATAGTCATCTTAGTGTTTATATAATAATAATATATCTCTTTACTACAGTAAGGGTAGGCCACTGGTATACCCAAATTCATAAAACAAATATTCCTGGACATAAAAGATCAGGTAAACAACACAATTACCATGGGGGAACCTTAAAACCACACTGTCACAAATAGATCAACTAGACAAAAAAAAAAAAAATCAACAAAGAAATATCAGAGTTGAACCAAACCTTCAAACAATGGATTTAAGAGATACCTACAGAGTGCTCCATCTAACAACAGAATATACATTCTATTCTCAGCAGCACATGAAGTTTCCTCCAAAATAAACCACATGCTGGTCCGTAAAGCATACTAAAGCAAATGCCAAAGAATCAGAACTATACCATAAATAATATCAGATTATAGTACAATAAAAACACAAATGAATGGCAAAAGAAACCACAGAAATTATGGAAATTAAACAATACTCTCTTGAATAATCAATGTGTCACTCAAGAAATCAAGGAAATTAGACAGTTCCTAAAATCAAATGATAATGCCATTACAACATATCAAAATGTATGGGACACAATACAAGCAGTTTTAAGAAGGAATTTTATAGCTGTGAATGCCCACATCAGAAAAAGAGAATGAACCCAAATAAATAATCTAATGATACACTTCAACATCCTAGAAAAAAAAGAACAATCCAAATCCAAATCCAGGACAAGAAAAAAAAACTATAAAGACTGGAGCAGAAATTAAGGAAATTGAGACCACAAAAGAAAACCCAACAAAGAATCAATGAATCAGAGTTGATTCTTTAAAGAAAACAGACAAACCCTTAGCCAATCTTACCAAAAAAAGAATCAAACCAATGTAATTAGAAATAAAAAAGGCAAAAATCACAATGGACAACAGAAATCCAAAAGATTATTAACAACTACCTTAAAAAATCTATATTCCAATAAATTGGAGAATCCAGGAAAAAAAAAAATGGGATGTCTAGATACATAGAAACTATCAAAATTGAACCAGGAAAATACAAAAATCCTGAATAATCCATTAATAGGCAGTGAAACAGGTAGTAATAAAAAATTTACCAACTAAGAAAAGCACAGGTTCTGAGGGATTTACAGTTGAATTGTATAAGAATTTCAGGAAAGATCTAACACCAATATTCCTCAAATTCTTTAATGAAACTGAAAGGGATGATGTATTCCCAAAGTCATTCTTGGAAGTGGCACTATTAAAAAAGAAGACTACAGGCCAATCTCTTTAATAAACACGGATGCAAAATTCCTCAACAAGATATGGCAAACAGAATGTAACAAACCATCAAAAGGTCATAATCATGACCAAGCAGGCTTTACCCCAGGGATACAGGGATGGTTAAACACATACAAATCAACAAAAATAATATATATATCACATAAAGAGGACAAAAAAAAAAATCACATGATCATCATATATGTACAAAAAAGTCTTTTCACAAAATCTAACATACTCTTAATAAAAATCCCAAAGAAGCCAGGCATAGCGGTGCACACCTGTAATCCCAATACTTGAGGTACTGAGGCAGGAGGATGTTTGTGAGTCAGAGGCCAGCCTGGGCTACATAAGCAAGTTGAAGGCCACGCTGCACTACATAATGAGACCCTGTTTCAAAAAATATATATATCCCAAAGAAAATACATATAGGAGCACCTTATTTCAATCTGATGGAAGCCATTTATGACAAACCAAAGACCAATGTCACATTAACACGTTCACAATTGGGTCATTTATATGTCTTACAGCTGGGTGGCTCTGATTTGAATTCCAACATTTGATGCTAAAACAGCTAAGCACTGGTGGCTCAAGCTGCCAGATAATACAGTCATGCATGCACTGCTGGTGGTTTAAACTGACAGGAACATGTTAAATGGAGAAAAGCTGTAAGTTTTCCATCTAAAACCAGGAACAAGACAAGGATGTCCACTATCACCACTTCTGTTCAATATAGTACTCAAAACATTGGCCAGGGCAATCAGGAAAGTGAAAAATAAAACGGGTAAGTATAGGAAAGGAAGAAGTCAAATTATCATTATTTGCAGATGACATAATCCTCTACATAAAGACCCATAAAATTTCACTTAAAAAGACTCCTAGAAATAATAACCAAATTCAGTAGTGTGCTAGCAGGATACAAAGTCAACATACAAAAATCAATAGCACTCCTGTACATCAATAATGAACTGAGAAAGAAATAAAAAAAAAACAGCATTCACAATAGCACTTAGGAATTAACCTAACCAAAGTGAAAAAGACCTCTACAATGAAAAATGCAGTACTCTGAAAAAAAAGAGATGAAAGAGGACATCAGAAAACGGGATGATAACCCCTGTTCCTGGATAGGCAGAACCAATACTGTCAAAATGATCATACTTCCAAAACTGATACACAGATTTAATGCAATCCCAATAAAAATACAAATAGCATCCCTTACAGACGTAGAGAAAACAATCCTAAAATTCATATGACACCAAAAGAGACCAAGAATAGCAAAAGCAATTCTGGGTAACAAGAGCAAAGCAAGAAGCATCACAGTTCCAGATCTGAAGATTTACTATACTACAAAGCTTCAGTGATAGACACCAAGAAAGGGAGAAAGAGGTAGTGTGTGCAGGGAGAGGGGATAATAAAAGGAATGAAGGTGTATTATGTACCTGTACCAACTCCCCACAAGAAATGTAATCATTATGTACTATAAGCATGTAACTATAAAAATAAAAATTTTTAAAAAAGAATTCTACCCCAAAGATACATCTGATTTGATACTTAAATTGGCACTCTTCTGTGCTACATTAAGAGTGCCTATTCTGTAAGTCTTTCCACAGCTTTCCTACCAGTCCTACCAACTACATATCTCAAATCTGGATACAACTGAAAGTCATATCAAGGGTTTCCAAGACAGACTCAATGACAAGTGCTCACAGTGGAAAAAGCACTCTCCCACTTTTGCCTGGCTAGAGCATACCTGATGACATTCTACGACATACTACATATTATCATCAAAAAAAGGGAAAGCTACGTATGTCCATAATTATGTGAACTTCAGTTTTCATGGATACATACTTTCTTTTTCATTATTCCTTTCCTTTTTAAACGTCTTTGTGCTTTATTTTCTGCTAAAGATGCTCTCTGAGCTGGAGTTAGTGCTTCATTAATTCTCTTCATCTCTTCTTTGTATGCCTCCCACTCCACCTTATAAGCGTCTTCATACATCTATATATAAAAAACTCAAAGAAATCAATAAGCTGTTGCAGGCAAATTCAACATAGCACATTTGCCAAGGAAGGACCACTGTATGACTAGATAAACAGACTGAACTACAGAGAAAAACATACTCTGGGATGAGATATATTTTCTATATACTTGATAATCATCGTAAGAACAGCAATTAGCCACCATTTTCAAACTGCTACCAACCACTGAACTCTACTCCTATACATCCATATTTATATCATTTATGCTGGTCAGAAGGTATAAAGTAAGACTGGCTAAGGGTTTGTCTGTTTTCTTTAAAGAGTCAACTCTGATTCATTGATTCTTTGTTGGGGGGTTTTTATCTCAATTTCCTTAATTGCTACTCCAGTCTTTATAATAGTTTTTTTTTTTTTCTTGTACTAGCTTTGGATTGTTCTTTTTTTTCTAGGATGTTGAAGTGTATCATTAGATTATTTATTTGGGTTCATTCTCTTTTTCTGATGTGGGCATTCACAGCTATAAAATTTCTTCTTAAAACTGCTTTTATTGTGTCCCATACATTTTGATATGTTGTAATGGCATTATCATTTGATTTTAGGAATTGTCTAATTTCCTTGATTTCTTGTGTGACACTTTGATTATTCAAGAGAGTATTTAATTTCCATAATTTCTGTGGTTTCTTTTGCCATTCATTTGTGTTTTTATTGCACTATAATCTGATATTATTTATGGTATAGTTCTGATTCTTTGGCATTTGCTTTAGTATGCTTTACGGACCAGCATGTGGTTTATTTTGGATGTTTAAAAAAACTGTGGGTCATCTAGTTCTTTAAAAGGCATGACAACTTTCTTAACTGCAGAATAACTGGTCTGCAATGTTGAAAACACAGCCTTACTTTTTTCTCTGCAGCAGGAAGTTCCTTCCATTGTTCTGCAATTCTTTTCATTATTTCTGTAACTTTTTTATCTACAAATTGGAATAAAATGAAAAAAAGATGTCACGATTTTATATCTCAGGATTAATTTCTAAAAACCGTACAATTTATTAGCTCTAAAACTTATGTTACAGACACTGTACACCATATTTAATACAATTAACTTTTCTTTACCCAACTAATTTAAGTATGGCAAATTAAAATTTTATCCAACAATGTGAAAAGCCTGTTATTTAATAACTAAGGAGTACATCGTATACCATAAAAAAACAGTCTCCAGAAATAGACTACTAGTAGCCAGGTGTGGTAGTACATGCCTGTAATCCCAGCACTCTGGAGGCTGAGGAAGGGGAATGGCAAGTTTGAACTAAACCTAAGCAACTTAGCAAGACTCCCATCTCAAAATTTAAAAATAGCTGGGAACACTGCTCAGTGGGAAGGCCCTGAGATCATTCCCTAATACGGCAAAAACAAAAACTGACTTTAAGAAGGTGAGTTTATGAATTGCCTCAAATTTTTTACACCTACATATCAAACATTTGTTTTCCTCCTGAGAGGAATTATTAACTTCATAAAACCCCACTAAATCACAAGGTACAGTCTTACTTCACATAACACACCTTGTATTTCAATTACAAAATACTATTTGAAAACAAGCTATTCTCAAATTAATCCATTATTTTCAGTTTTCTTTCTTGCCTTAACTGGAATGCTGGAGTACAAGTGATTTGACAACCAAGTGTCAGTTCTAAGTCTTATGTTTAAAAAGATGTGGGTACTTACACATGTTTCTTAAAACTAATTCCTTATCTGTAATATAAGCATGTTTATTATAGCTTATTTGATTTTCACAGATGTCCTGGGAAGTGCTGCATGTTAAAGTACTTAAAAGTCATACATAGACATTAGTTAAAGTTTTCTAGGCAATCAACAAACATCTTACCTGGAAGTCTTTTTTCAGGAATGCAGAACAATTCTCAATGAAAAAAAGTTGAACTTAATTCTTTCCACAATTCTTGTCACAGAATTCGTTCTTAACCCTAGCCCACATCAGATAAATTCTGCAGCCAGAATCGTGAAAGAATTCGTGAAGTGAGGCACCATTGTAATTCAGTTTCAGAACACTTCCACATAAGCTATTTCATTGCAATTATACGACTGCCCTAAGGCAGGAGCAACTAAACTGGGTGTGATGGTATGTGCCTAAAATCGCAGCATTTGGGAGGCTGAGGAGAAGAACCAAACTGAGTTCAAATCTGACATGAATTTACAAAGTGAGACCTTGTCTCAAAAAAACAACAAGAAAAGCAGCAGCAGCAGCTAAGCAAGAGATCAGACCTGTCAGTGGTACCCTAAGCTAAAGACAACTAGGCCCTAAATTCAACTTTTTCATGCTCTTCCCAGTGTGCTTTCCAAACTACATTTTAAATATACATGTCATTAGTTCTCACTTATATTTAAAGTATTTCTATTTGGTAATAATATGTTACATATTCTACAGACCTTCAAACAAAATGAATGCTCCAGGAGTCACTAAAAATGTACATCAAGTTTATAGTGTAACTACTTAGTAGGCTTTTTATGACATCAGAAAAGAGCACCAGCTCCAAAACTCCTTACCTGGATTCTGAGCTTTAAGTATGCTCATCTTTTCTTTAGTAAATCGAATGTATGAATTGACAGGTTTCTTAGGATATCCATTCAAGGTAGATGAGAACCATTTCGGAACATACACAATACTATACATAAATAAAAAGAAAATAGTTGATGTCAGGCTTTTTTTGTTTTTGTTTTTTACAGCCAAGTTTTATTAGAAGTAGAGAAAGAAACCGTTTCTGAAGAGCAAGTTTGGGCCAGGTGGAAGTAGGAAAAGAAGTACACCTTACAGCTTGAGGGTGGGCCACTATGCAAGAGAGCACAGTGGAGAACATTGGGCGTTTACTTGCTCGTATCCACCTGTATAGGAACGGATGCCAAATAAGATGTCTTCAAAATGCTAGACAGCTGATACTCTCACCAAGAATACTACTCGCATTTATCTTTTTGGGGACCCCTGCCGTGTGATGCTGGGCCCTCTACCACTTAGCTGCATCCCCAGCTCTTCCGATCTATTTAAAATCCCGCCCGAGCCAAAAGGCAGGGCGCCAGGACTTCAGTCCCAGGGTCCTCATCTCCTGGCAGGAGTAGAGGGCGGAAGGCACCCGTCCTCCGGCTGCACGGCTCTGCACTTTGCGCGCCTGGTTAATGGCGGGAGACTCCTGGCGCGATCTGGCGGAGGAAGCCCAGCCTGAGCTGAAGCCTGGACGACGGGGAGGGGCGGGAGGAGGCAGTGCGGGTAGCAGGATGGACGCGTGCTACGAAGATAAAGGTGCGGTCTCCGATCCCCCGGCCAGGCCGTCCGCACCACCGGGTCGGACGGCGGACCCGGAGGGCAGCGTCCACACCGGGCCCCGAGCCCACCCCCGCCGCGGTGACCCGTCTACCTGAAGGGAGAGCGCAGTCTACTTCCACAGCCGGCGCACAGCTCTGCTCCGGACCGTCCCAGAGCCCTCAGCACGCCCCACACACCCCGGAGGAGCGCCATCGCACCGGCGGACAACACACAGGCCTGGCCACGGCTGTAATGAATGGCCAAGGTAATGACACCTGAAGTCCGCGAGCTACCCCGACCGCTCTGTTATCATGCCCGCCACTCGCGAGGCACTATGGGAAGTCGGGCAACTTCCGGTCAGGAGGCGGGAAGGGCAGAAGCTGCGCAGGCGCAGCGGCGAGTACCGGGGCGGGCGGATGAAGGGACCGAGCGTGCCCGCGCGGTGAAAGCTAGCCGCGGCTTTCTCGCCTGCAGAGGGCCCTGGTCTCCGCGGCAGGCCGCGGGTCGCCTCCGCAGTTGGTCCCTTAGCTGGGTCTGGGCGCTGTTTGAGGGACCGCGGCGGCCACACCCGGCCTCGACCCTTGCCTGCGTAGGCCCGTGACGCCCCGACGGCTGCACGTCACAGTCGCTGTACGGCAAGCGCGAGGGACAGCTGTCCAGCCCGCGCTGCTCCGGATGCGCGCCCCGCGGAGCCCGCTCGGAGTGCAGAGAACGGAGAGAGCGGGAAGTCACAGCCCTGCAAATGCAGATTCTCGGGGCCTCGGGCAGAGCTGCTCTGTGTCAGCATGGGGCTCATGAATGGGCGTTTTTAACAGTACCCCAGCTTCTAGCAAGTTTTAATGCAGTGGCCTTGGACCCCACTTAAAACTGGATTTAGACTTTGTTCCCGTCTACTGCACGGTAGAGCCGTCCTCCAGCTCCACTTAATGTGATCAGAGGAGACTTACGCTAGTGCACTGCAGATTGGAGTTCTGGTTCCAGCACTGGCATTCACATTGTGCCCAGGGACTGAGGTATCCCCCACTAAGATTCAGTTTCCGCTCTGCAAGTGGGGCGGCTTAGATGAGTTTTTCCAACCAAAGCCCCGAGAAAGTATGACAAGTACGCCTGTGAAACTGATTGATGTGATGTACAAGTGTTGATGTGTGTTGTATACATAACAGTTTCTGTACAGGCAATGGTATGAAAAAGATTAGGAAGACCTAAAGACACCTAAGGGCTCTTCCAGCTGTCGAATATCAGTTCCCTTAAAAGGTAACCACCTCCTAGGACAGCCCTTCTTCAGCTGGATATCTGTAATTGTTAAAATTTTCCTACCAGTGTAAAAAGTGAAGTGGGCTGAGAACCTACTATCTTTCTGTAACTGCCAAACACTGGCTCTTTGGGGCCACCTAGGACTAAGCCCACTTCTTCTTTTAAGTGGTAAACAAGTATTACCATTTCCCTTTTCATAAGCCCTCAGGGTTAAAAGGGACCTTCCAGGTAATCTATTCAAACCTCCCATTGTGTCATAGTATCAAATTTTTCTGAGTATATACTATCAACAAGTTACTAAACATAGGGAGATAAAAGATAGCGTTTCCGTATTAAAATCTGATGGCACAGGCAGGGAAGTAAGTAATTACAACACAGTGCCAAGATAAAGTATGAGATAAAAATTTCTCATGATTTCATTTAAGATGATTTCTAAAACAATTCGTTTCCTCACTATTTTCCTAGAATGTTTTTTTTCTTTCAGATGTTGGATGTAAAGAGTTTAGGAGTTTTAAATGTTGTTTTCAAGTATCACTGCGAAAATTCTTGCTGTAAAGGTCTTATAAATTAAATCGATCTTATTTCTCTTTTCAGCAGTTACCAGTCGTCTTTAAAACTCATCTATATTGCACTGATACTTTTCTTGTCAATGTTTTTACAAAGAACTACATAGCTCTACCTACTTACTCAAACTGTCTTTGGACAAAAAGACACACGATTTCATTTATCTTTACTTTATAAAAGAAAGACTTACTATAGCCTTTATCAGGATTCTTTTCCTTTGTTTTGAAAGTTCATTCACTCTCATAACTTCAACTGTCAGTGACATCCTCACGATTTCCATATTTTATATTAAATCCAGACCTCTCCTTTGAGTTCCATATACAGATGAACCCTGTCTTCTAGACATTTTCACAACTGTGCCTCACATGTACCTCAAGACTCCCTGAACAAAATTCACTATCTTTCCTTTATCTTGAACTCTTAGTAAGGGGCACCAATTTTCCACATCAAGCATCCAAGCCAATAAATTGATAAATCCTTCTAGAATCTCCCCAATCGGTACTCCACCTCCATGAACCCTCTATGAGTCTGCCTCATCCGTCCTGCTCGGATGTGTCCTGTCTTCTCTAGTCCCACGTTGCTGCTTTTGTTCATACCAGGAATATGTGCAGGAATCAGTTCTTAAAAGAAGAAAGCCCTCACCTGTGATGTTTGCCATGTTCTGTAGTGTAGATTCTCCACTCGTTGATCTCAAACTATCAGTCTGAAGTCCCTGAATCTGAAGTTGGGCAGGAATGAGCATAATTGGCTCTAACCAGTACGAGCTGGCTCGGGCTCTGACATCTTTGCCCAAACTCATACAGTAATTTGCCAGTATTAGTTCCCTCCAAGCTGTGCACCACAGTTACAAAATCGGTCTTTCTAAAAGGTAAACCCATTCAGTCTTTTCATTTGTGCTGAGCACCAACTGCCAGACAGGGAATGATCCTATTTCTTACTTGAAGCCTCAATGCCTACTGATTGCTGACACAATCAAGTTTGGATTCTCATACATAGCACATTAAACCTCTATGAAATGGTCTTTCCTTTCCTGTTTAGCTTTATTGGCACTTTTTAAAAAATAGTGTATTATTTAAGTACTTATTTCTTCTTCTGATTTAATAGGCATATCAAACCATTTCATTTGGATTTGAGTTTAGTATTGTTTTTGTGTGATACAGCAATATAGTGAAAAGTATGAAGGACACAAGCTTAAAAGTAAGACACATTTGGATTCAGATCCTGCTCTTACACTTATTAGATGTGTGACCTTAGCAATAGCAACATCTAACCCAACGTTTTTCCCTCTATAAAATGGAGATAGTAACGGTTGATTCTCAGGACTGCTGTGAAAATGATTAAATTATGCAGTGTACAAATTATTCTTTGTAGAATCCCACAGATACACATATCAAATTACCAGCCTTGCTCTGCTCTCCTACTGCAATTTTCACATTCCTTAAAATACTTAATATTTGAGTAGAAAGACTGTAATAGTTAAAGAAAGAAACACACTGTTAAGTTATATTCACATGTTAATGTAAGACTCATAAATTAAAGAAAAAGTGAAGTTATTGTCATAATTATTGTTTCTAATTTCCAGATGAGAAAAAACAAGATTTCGTGGTCCCAAGCTGTACGATTTTCAGTCTTGAGCATGTTGCGGTTCACTGTGCAGTGCTTTGCTCATATTAACCCATTCCTCAAACATAGTCAACACATCACATCATTCCAGCTCCAAATATCTTCCTTGTTGTCACTTACTGTGACTTGCCATATACCACTCCTGTGTCTGATCTTTTCACTGTATGGAGTTCCCGCTTTCAAGAGATAGTAAGTTAGGACAGGAGTAGGACAGGACTAGGTCTTCAGCTTCCTTGTAATCCCCTCCATTGTCACAGCACAGTGAGCAAACAGATCGATGGACACACAGCTGGACAGATGGCAGGGAGATAGACAAGGTAAAGAGATTAGCCTCTACATAGATTATTTTTATATCAATCTGGACCTCTAGAAAATAACAATTTCCTGTTAGAAGTATCATTTGCCACCAGAAGACAGTGGTATGTGAAGATGAAAACCGTGCACAATTTTAGAATATGTATATGAAAGTAATGATCCTGGTTAATTGACACCTGCATATGTAAAACAGAAAGTGGCCCAAATAAATAGTTACAGGCCAAAAGTGTGGATAATTTGCTGCCAAATAGATTTCCTGCTGAATAATGAGATAGATGTATGGATGTCACACAAATGAAGGGAAAATATTACTAAAAGAAGAAATAGCCATGCTTTTATAATGGATGCATAATTTAGCTACAATCAGAGTAATTCCTAATAGCTCTAGGACAGTAAATAGATGTGATTCTGAGTTGGACATGGTGGCATACACCTGATGTCTCAGCGCACTGGGAAGCTGAGGCAGAAGGATCCAAAGCTCAAACCAGCCTGGACAACTTAGTGATTTAGCAAGATCCTGCCTCAAAAATTAAAAATAGGCTGGAGAATGTACCACAAAAATGTGAAACTGAATTTATGAGTAAAACATGTCTGGAAATAGGATCTATCAACACTGCATTCAAAGAAAATACTGATCAACAATTCCATGGCAGTGTAAACTGGAAGGGACACAAGATGATAGAACACTATAACTGACCTCAAGAGGTCACAGTCTGATTGGGGTACAAAGTGTAAATACGCAACAATTGTGAAAGTATAAATTCAGTGAGACAATATGAAAAACATTTTACAACTCATTTAAATATCTTAGTTTATTTTCTTTAAATGGAGTTTAAGAAATTACATGTGTAGGAAACTACATGCGTAACTTTTCTTTCTTTTACATTTTTTTTTCATTCCTTTATGGTCTCTCTTTACATCACTGGAGTTTGCCTCTTAGATTATTATACAAAAGGAAGGAAAAAGGAAATAGAGAAATTTGAAGAAAGAGCTATTGCATGTTAATAGTTCCCAGCCATTCCAATTAGTTTATAAGTGGTCTTTCAATTACTGGAAAATCTGCCGGGCGTGGTGGCGCATGCCTGTAATCCCAGCACTTGGGAGGCTGAGGCAGGAGGACCCTTGTGAGTTCGAGACCAACCGGGGCTACAAAGTGAGCTCAAGGCCAGCCTGAACTGCATAGCAAGACCCTGTCTCAAAAAGACAAAAAAAAAAAAAAAAATTACTAAAAAGTCTGCATGCAACTTATTAAGTGCATGTCAGATTTATTTTTAGCCACTGCTGTAACAGCATTATGAAAAAATAAATATAGCTCTTCTAATTTAAAGCTGATTCTGTGAGTCAGTAGAATGGAGGACAAGCAAAAAGGACAGCTATAATTTTATGCAAAAGTACATGCCCCAGTTCAATTATGTCACTGGAAAATCCTGAAAGGTGACTTAAAGATTGGGTGAAAACTATGAGTAGATTGACGGGATGCTTTTAATAAGTCAATATGATCCATTGCATTTGCCCTAATATTACTGTAAATATACAAATAATTATAATTTATTCCTTATTATGTGCCTAGTGTTTTACATATATTATCTCTAAACTTTCCAGAAATCTTGCAAGTTGATATTATTTCTATTTTATTTATTTATTTATTTATTTTGGTTTTTCTCCGGTACCAGGAACCGAACTCACGACCTTGCGCTTGCCAGGCAGGCGCTTTTGCCGCTGAGCTAAATCCCCAGCCCCGATATTATTTCTATTGTACAAGTCTGAAAACTGGTACTCAGCTAAATAGATAAAGGATATCTTCCTTGTTAGCATTTTGTTAACAAAAATGTCCCCTGTTAAATTCACAACTGCAGCTTTTA